TGTATGTATGTATGTGATAAATTCGACAGAAATAATGTGACACAACAATCACTAACGAGAACAACCCTGCTCGTGCCGTTCTTATTTTCGGATTAACTATCCCGTAGTTGAATAATCGTTTAATAAATGTATAATGATGTAATAATTAAACATTGTTTCACATGATAATCAAGCGTCTATATACACCTTTATACCATCGCTGTTTAAGGAAGTACAGATGTCTAATAAACGCTGAATAATCAAAAATTTGATCGAATAAGCTCTGTTACAACTTTTGTAAGTCGAATAAAAGCTTTCTAGACATACCTTATTCAACACCAAATATTTCGATGTTGTGGTTGAATAAATTCTCCAGATTTGTGTGAACAAAGCCTGAACAGAAGTTATTATTAAAAATAGTACAAGTATTATTAAGCATGAAGTGGAATAAAATCGTCAAGAAGTCGTTTCTTCAATAGGCAATTGTTTGTTGGGTTGTGTATGTAATGAGAAGTCACCACCATCGTTTTTGCAGCAAAGTACACTTCTGCGTTGAAAATAATCCTTTAAAATAGAGTTCACTCAAGCCAGACAAACTACAAATATTAATCTTCAGAGTTCTATCATTACTAGCGTGTTGACATGATCGGTCAAGTCAGACCGAACTGTTAAATTTTTTTTTCGATTTCGAGAAAAACGAATTTAAAGTTGACTGTTCAATATTGTGCCTTATGCAATGGGACTAATCACTTGGCCGTTTCCTCTTGCTACTCTAATTTTTCAAATCTGGATGAAAAGTGAAATGTAGCTGAGGGAATCCTTGATCTTATGATATCATTAACTCATTTTTTGTTTTTATTTTGCTACTTAGTCTCTTCTGACTTAACGCCGACCATATGATCTTGTATAGTAAAATGTAGTGCTGTTTTACATTCAAAATCGTCCATTTATATTTTTACTGGTCTGAGTAAAAGTATTCTGAGGGATTCTGAGTCTAATTTCGTGCAAATTATTTTTCCACCTGAATGCTGAATGCTTCAGAGGCTTCCAAAAAATCTATTTTAGAAGATTTCCGCATAAGGACTTGTTGAAGGACACATAGTTCCAGAGATATTCCGGTATTATTTGGGGTGCTAACATGCTAACGGTATCCCAACTACCGTAAGGTTGCCATCCACCGCTCACTTTGTCTTCCTTTACCTTCCTTTAGCATCCTTTCGACAAGCAATTGCGTGTTGGTGATCTTACGGTGATTCCAGTATATCTCTGGAACCATGTGTTGAGTCTGATTGAATCTATACTAGAAGATATTTCTGGAACCATCTAAAAACTTCACCCCATTTCAAAAGCCACATGTGCACACAAATCTTCTGTGAACAAACCCTTGCAGTCCCTTCTCTTGTCACCCGACAACATCACATATGATGAGACCGCGAGAGTCAAGAGAGCGCATTGAGATGTTTCAATGAAACAGTCGCATGTGATTGAAATACATGCGTCGCATTGAGAGAGCAATGCGATGAGACAAAATAAAATTGAAACGCTTGAATTTGTTGAGAGCGTGTAGCTTGTCGCGCGCATCGTTCTGGTCTCTCTTTTGTACAATTAATGTAGCACACCATGGATTTGAGAGTCATGCGACGCTCCGTCTCACAGCTCGCTGTCGCATTTGTGTACGCGTGAGATTTCCGGAAGCCTGGTCAAGAGTCCCCACCAAGGAAGCAGTTGACTGTTTGTCATATGTAGCGCAAAATAGTCGACCAGATATTGCGTACGCCTTGAATGTTGTGAGCCAATTCTCTGCCAACTCTGGTAGACAACATTGAGAAGCAACCATTGGCATATCTAATGGGGATGCCTAGGAGGCCTGGACCCCCTCCAGAATGATCTAGCCGTCCTCCACTTTTTTATGATGTAATAGAATCAATAGAAGAATAATAGATAACTTAAATTAAATAAAGCTCCACACAAGGGAAGGAGGTCCAGATCATTCTGGAGGGGACCTGGCCATGTAGGGACCCCCATTAGCTACGTCAATGGAAGCAACCAAGCGTATCATCCTGAAGGGAATAGCGCAGAAAATGTTGCTGTATACCAAAGACGAAGGCGGCCTGCGGACCCTCCGCAGACTACGAGGTTGGCGAAGTGTGGCCATGGATCGAGTAGAGTGGAAAAGACTTCTTCGGACAGCAGAGGACAACAAGGCCTTAGCCTGATTGGTAAGAGTATACTAAAGACGAAATTGGAGGACTTCAAGAGTATAGCGATGACGATTGAGGAGGAGATCCTGGTTACAGAATATCGACAACAGGTTACTTGTTCACCATGCAAGGGGCTGCCATATCCTGGAATGTGAAGAAGCAACCAACCGTAGCCCTTTCATCATGAGTGGATGATGTGTGGGAAATCGAAGAGTGGACTATATTGTTAATGTAGTATATTGATGTTAGTCTATGGTAAAAGTTGATTCAATTTAATTTCGTTTCGGTTAATCATGAGCAATATTTCAACAAGAGGTACATTCAAAGTTTGCTAAGTGAAGGATTGTAAACCGAATATCCCTCAACTGGAATTCCGCTGAATTAAACAAGTTTTAAGGGGCACTTATATGCTTATATGTCAATGTTTTGCGATATTAAAATGTCATGAAAAACTTGCCATTATATGCACTTCGAATGTATTTAATAACTAGTTATATATAAGCAGTTCATTTTAATTTAGAGAATGTCGTAAACTGTAATGTTTTTCATTAACCGAACGATAAATATTTATGATTTTTTCGGCCTTTTGTGGAAGGTTTATAAATTTTCGGCCTTTTATGATTCGGTCTTCTGTTCCTATCCCGTGATATCAGCTATAGTCTGAACTAAATCGCCTCTTTATAAATTTAGGCTCTTTAGTCTGAACGTACTATAAAAGTATGGACGTCTGCCAATAGTTGTTCTGCTCGAACTGTCAAACAGCACTGCTAGATTGAATAAACTATTTTCAGTTTTCTGGTGAGTTTGTGAAATTTAACTGCGCAAAAATCACCGATAAGATTTAAGGAAAAACAAAACGTTCCTTTATTTTTGACGATATTCATTGTTCTTGGTGTTATTTATGGACTATTCGTTGGAAAACTAACAAAACATTCATGTGCATGACATCAATTTACATTTAAACGGATTTTATGAGTTTTGAGCATGAATTAATTGTTTGCGTCGTGAGTGTGAGTGCGTGAAAATGTATAAGAATCTCATGTGTTTTTATTCGCTTTGGAGTCCTCAATGAATGATTTTTTTTTTCTTCGAACACTGGACGTTCTTATGTATTTGTACGAAATTGAAACCCGTAGGCCGAATTTGGAATCAAAAAGCAGTGTTGTATATCTTTCAAAATATAATTAATATGCGATTCTTTATTAAATTCAACGGTACATATGTAAAGGTAAATAAATTTAGAAGTCATCTGTACTGCCGCTCTTCGCATGTCAGTCCCATAGCGAAAATCAGCAAGTCGAGACAATCACATGTTAAATTTGATTCGTACCATCGCTTCTTATGTGATGGGACATCCAATTTGGCCTTTCTTTCAAACTTGCTCCGAAAAAATAAATAGGGGAAATGGCTCTAATGTTGGCCTATGGATCTAAGATTGGGCCCATCGCTAAATATCTGCTATTTATTAATTGTATCTAGAGAGAGATGAACTAGCCTTCGGCTAAAAATCTCTTAAATAAAGAATTAAAAAAAAATGTATCTAGATGAACGCGTCATTGGGACGGTACTAATGGATATTTTTGGTTGCTATTGAAAATGTAGTCGATTGCTGAATTTATGTATGGGCCCAAATTAGGGACATTTAGGCCGACATTACCTGCATTTCCCCTACATTGATTTTTTTAATATTGGAAAAAGGTAACAAAAATTCTAAAAATCACATTTTTTCTGATTTTTCAAAGAAAATTCACGTGCAAAAACTTTTTATAAGTCATTATGGCGTAAAGTTGGACTTTTCTGTTTTGCTGAGAGTCTAATTTTTGTATCATGAGATGGATTTTTTTTTTACATGTAATTATTAACAAAAATCTAAGGAAGAAACTAATTTTCTTGGATTTTTGATAATTTTTTCCAATATTTTTAGAAAAATAAAAACGTACCGAATTTTTTTTTGTTGGTAAACTTCCTCTTAAGTACGGGTTAATCTTAGTAGGTAGAAAATTAGATCTAAACCTAACAAATGAAGCATTTTTAGAAGCTTAGAGATATTTTTTTTCAGTTTTCCCAGGTTGTGTAGTCAACACTCTGGTGTTATCAACTCAAAGCTGGCGAAAATGCATATAAAATTGATAATCGATTATAAGCAGTATAAATTGTATCTTACAGTCGGTACATATTACTAGATTTTTGGTAACCTCTTGAACAAATCTTGAACCTTACGTTTACAATGCAAAATCATATGGTACTCTTGGGATTCAATCGATTCAATGAATTCCCAATTGGTGCTGATAAAACTTCACCACTAATATGGAGCAGCCTGGGGACACATTATGGGACCAAGCCGAAACGATTCGTTTCGACTTCCCCAATGACCCTGATTCTTTCCATCCTGTGAGTGATAACAATACATGATTACGAAACCGTGAACCACATTATGTTTATTATTTTTAAACACCTCGACCGCAAAAATCGTCTAAGCGAGCAGTGTTCCCTTCCCGTTGTATGATGATGTCATAGATCAACAGCCCGCTATCCTCTCAGACAGTCATACCCCACTTCTTCACTTCCACCCACGAACATGCGACGATTACCGATCGGGAGTCCAGTCATCAACCAACATTCCCCCTTTCCCTTCTTGGATGATCCACGCACTTCCAACCTAATCTCGTTGCACCCCCCCCCCCCCCTCACCCACAAACGATGAGAAATTTTTCATCCGCACGAATCACACCCCGACAAGTTTTCTTCTTTCGCTCGTCTTTCTTCCCATCCATCCTAGCTGCACTCAGTAAAAGCAGAAAGAAAAAGTTTGATACGTACATTGTCGATCACCACTGGCTGGTTCACTATCACATCGTAGGGCTCCATCTTGCGAATTGACCGGTCAGATCCGTTCACTTCCGGCTGCCGGTGGACAGAGGACTAGGTTGGAGCAAGTTACTCGGATTGAATCGCCGGAAAAAGTGCACTTTTTCGGATTTTCACAGGCAGCTTGCGGTTCTTTTCTTCTCCCTTTTCGATTGGCGTTGACGTCCGCTGCAAAACGCGAGATGACAGCGAGATTTTCCTTTTTTCCGACGATGATGACAGCACCACGATGACACACACACAATCAAAAGTTTTGTTTTGGGAGGAAGGCAAACAACGGGGACGTAAAGAAAACGATCCGGAACACGTTCACGTATTACGATTTATAAATCAGTGTCAACATTTCAAAGGGGCGTAATTGCATTTGTAAACAATGGCTTTAGCCTTGGATTTCTGGTGAATAAAAGCTCAATCATGAAGATTAATGACACCAGCAGATAGAGGAATGTTACCTTTACCAGCTAGCATTGTTAATATGGAGAGGTGAACTTTTATTTGCGAGAAATCGACGGCTAAAGCCATTGTTTACCAAATCAATTACGCCCCTTTGAAATGTTGGCACTGAAATATCTACACGGTTAGAAAAAAGTACCCAAAATTAAGTTCTTTTCACTCATCTCGGCACTATAGTGCAGGAACCCAAAAGTAGGTAAAGCGGGTCAAAGTAATTTTCATTTACTTACACGGTAACCAGCGTAAACACATAAATGAGTAAAAAAATACACATTTTTTATATTTATATGCAGCTGTCAAAAAATGTGTAAATTTGGAGATCTTAAAATGTGTAAAAAAATACACATTTTAAGAATGTAGTACCAGTCAAAAAATGTGTATTTTTATACTCATTAATGGGTAAAAAAAACTTCAAACTTTGCTGTAGCCTGCCTTGTTTACGCACGTAATTTGTTTATATTTCAGTGAAGTACAACAGGAAAATGGAGGAACTATGGTCCAAGCTGGACAGTACGACGATGGACATACTAGAAGGTAGGTGATTTATACTATTTTCATAGTTAAGTTTTGGAAAAACTTGCTTGCTTCATACTGATTTTTGTTTTTTTCCTTAATTTGTTTTCCGTGCTGAGCACCAATGCTACTGACGCCAGGAAGGAAGCTCCCACACCTGGATCCTACCTATCGATCCATCAACTCATGAACCGGGAACCAATGGATTTACTTCCCTTCCGAAGGAAGGCGTGATTCTCGGCGTGATCAGAGATGTTATGCCTCAGAACATCCCAGCGGTGCCGACTGGGATTGAAATCAGGCCTGCTGGGGAAAGAGGCAATCACGCTTACAACACCGGCGCCGGTACTGATTTTTTGATGGCATTCCTTTTTTTAATAAAATATTATTGTATTCGAGCAATCTTTATAATTTTATAATTAACACAAATAAGAAAATTCCGAAGGCAATAAAAAACCATGCGCACCCATTATATATAAGTTCTAGAAATGATTACTTTTTACACATTTTGCTGTAAAAATCGTTCTTGAAAAATGTGTAAAAAATACACTTCTATTGACGTTTGCTGGGTTTACACATAAATGTGTAAACGCAGTTTACACATTTTATGAGTAGACCCCTTTTTTCACGAAATGTGTGAAATTTTACACATTAATGTGTTTACACTGGTTACCGTGTATGTGCAGTTCGTATGGAATTTTCCACTGGTTTTTTAACCAAAAGTATGTTAGTTGTACCCAACAGTAGGTAAATATGATTATACTCAACGTTGGGTTCCCACACTTTACTACCCATGTTGCGTGGTTTTGCTCCTCCGTTTTTGACAACATTAGAAGGAGAAAAGGAGACAAACTAGTCAAAAATAGGTAAAAGTAAACTTTCCGTTGGGTACTTTTTTCTTACCGTGTATAAATCTATCCAGCTTTCCATGCTCGGTAATGGCGGCCTGTTTGTATGAATAAATGTATCCTTCACTGTGCTTTTCGACACTATCTGGATGTTCGAATTTCAACCCCTTCCCTTTCCCTCTCCCAGGAACAGAAGAAAATGGAACAACATACGCCCTCCAGTTAGTGTCAAAAAGCACAGTAAAGGATACATTTATTCATACAAACAGGCCGCCATTACCGAGCATGGAAAGCTGGATAGATTTGAAGCAGTATTCCGCGCATTTGGCCCTCAGGTTAGACTCCCATCAGTAAAATAGGCTCATTTGATGCACACGAAACGAAAATCAATTATTTAATTCATGTGTTTCACTTATACATTTTTGCTAAAGCATCAGCTTTATACATTCCATAAGACAAACCACATATGTCCTATTAGAATGCATAAAAGGCGATAAAAGGTATGTGTGACCGCTTATACATTTCATTTGACACATGATCTTTATTAACTTTTTGCAAGGCGTCTGCTTATTAGATGACTTATACAATTTATGATCAGCAATGGAAATTTGCCAAAAGGTATAAGGAGATTACTATCCGTGCACCGAGTGCGCTAGGCAATTATGAGAGTAAACGTTAACCAAACAGTTTGTTTACATCAAAATGCCGATTTTTACAACTCAAGTTAACGCATATTTTATGGTTCCTTTGCGAATTTCCACTGGGAGTGATCTTATTTTACGATTGTTCTCAGTTCTGCACTGATTTATAGGTAAACTCATCACACATAAAAATCCGTAAGATCCTTGGTAATACCAACAATCAATACGAAACTAACGATTTTAAATTGGCTCACTGCTTGACTAGCCTATTGGTCCCAAGCAAATCGATTAACGTATCCCATTCTAGTCGAAATTCTAGTTCTACACAATGTTTGTTTTGATTCGCTATGAAAGTTTCACAGATAAAATGAGGGGTTATTGGTTTTTCCTATGTTTCGAGGGGTGAATCGATTAGCTTGGGACCGAAGAGAGTACCAGAGCTGAGCCAAAAAGTTGAGCACGTTATTTCGGGACCTTCTGGTCTTAGAGTTACCTCTAATGGAAGTAAAGCCGTTGGTCCCCGGTTCATGAGTTGATGGGTCGATATGTAGGGTCCAGGTGTGAGAGCTGCCTCCCTGACGTCGGTAGCATTGGTGCTCAGCATGGAAAACAAGATCGACGGAAAACAAATCAAGGAAAAAAAAAACTTACTTCAATCCGAAGAGGTTTTTTTTTAATCTTCTCAACCACAACAAAGGATGCGCGTACTCCCCAATACATTTTAGCCTTCTTTAAGTTGACCCAAACTAACGATCCGCATTGCTCGTTGGGCTACCACGGCCGATCCAGTGAATCTCGGCTGTATAGAAAACAAAATAGACCACGTAGATGATGATTTCAATTACCTCCGATGGATAAATTAATCAGGAAAGGTGAGTGGGATGACATTGATGAAGACTGCACATTGTACTGTGTACTTCTGCTAATCTGAACAACATTTCATCTTTATTAACGGGGTTCATTTCTTATTTCAACTTCTAGTTTACCCACACACAAAATAATCGTTGTTGAATTTTTAAACAAATCGATGGTAGAATTAAAAGTTTGCGTTGGTTCTTTTTGGTAGAAAGCGGTTAGCTTTCAAAATAAAAGTCAGCCAACTGTCAAATCAAAAGTAGTTTACTCACTACTTTTAAAAGTTTAAACTTTCAGAATGAATTGAACTACTGTCAAATCAAAAGCATCACAGTGTTGAAATTAAAAGCGGATTATTTTTGTTCCGAAACAAGCTTTTAACATGAAAGTTCCTTACAGTTAAAATTATATGTACCATTTTGATTTAAAAAAAATAATATTTTCAGTTTGAATACCGGAATTTTCAATCATAGCAACCAAATTTTTCATTTTAAATTCTATTTATAATCAAATTCCTATTTTTGTGTTTCAATTTAAAGTTCTAAAAATATATTTATGTTTTTATATTGTATTTTTTCGAAGTTAACATGATAATTATTAAATGTTTTATGGTTAGATAGACGTCGTATAGCAGCAGTCAGATTTTGAATTGCATCATCCATGTCTATTGAGGTCCAGGACGGAAGCACAAACTCAGCGAACTAAAGACTTTGCTGAGGACATGCTCTATGCGGGAAGCTAGGCGGGAAGCAGCCAGCGAAGCAACGTGGATGTAATCTAGAATGGTATATATAAATTAGTGCGAGTGTTACGGTGAGGGGTGTCTGAAATAATATAGTCCAAGCAGGGTGAAATACGTATACGAGCATCAGAAAAGTTCGCTTCGCACCTACGCACTTCTTAGCTTCAGACTAACGAGAACCGTAGTATCAACAATCAATACGAAACTAACGATTTTAAATTGGCTCACTACTTGACTAGCCTATTGGTCCCAAGCAAACGGTTAACGTATCCCATTCTAGTCGAAATTCTAGTACTACGCAATGTTTGTTTTGATTCGCTATGAAAGTTTGACAGATAACATGAGGGGTTCGTGGATTTTCCTATGTTTCGAAGGGTGAATCGATTAGCTTGTGACCGAAGATAGTACCAGAGCTGAGCCAAAAAGTTGAGCACGTTTCTTCGGGACCTACTGGTCTTAGAGTTACCTCTATGGTAAAACCATAGAGGTAACTCTAAGACCACTGGGTCCCGAAGAAAATCATTATTATTTTTGGCTCACTCAGTACCAGAACAACGGTCCCAAGCAGTCCCAAGCTATTTCACTCACCCCTGCATGTTCTGCATGAATCCACACACCCCTGATGTTATCTGTCAAACTTTCATAGCGAATCAAAACAAACATAGTGTAGTAATAGAATTTCAACTAGAATAGGGTACGTTAATCGTTTGCTTGGGACCAATAGGCTACTAAAGTGGTGAGCCAATTTAAAATCGTTAGTTTCGTATTGATTGCGAGATTGATTGTTGGTAAAACCTCGAGTAAAACCTCATAGAGCATATTAGAATCAACAATTATTTTATAGTGGAATCTACACAGAAAAAAAAGTTGTTGAATATTACATCCAAACTGCTGCAACCAGGTCAATCCATCGGTTGTGTAAAATAACGTTGTACGATGTACATCGATTTTGCGAACAAAATTACATCCATTGATGTAATATTGTATCTGCTTTTTGCTATTACATCATTATTTCATACATCAGCTTGAATTACATTGATCGATATTACATTTTGTTTTGCTGTGTACCTAATACCACAAACGAAGTGACAGACGACTAACTGGCGAAGAAATCCATTAAAATAATGTGGTTCACTGTAATAGAATTTTCTTGGAAGCTTGTGCCATCATCCACCAGATGGGTTAGTTTTTTTGTTTTGATTTGAACAAAGTTGATTTTGTGTACAATGATTTTTTGACAGTGTGCAAAGAGTGTATCATTTTGTCATTTTTTTATGCATTTCAGTTTTAAGTAGAGTGAAAGAGATAGAACCAAAACATTCTAATACATTTGGTGAAAATGCTAGTACAATCCAGTAGTAGCATAGAGGTAACTCTAAGACTAGAAGGTCCCGAAATAACGTGCTCAACTTTTTGGCTCAGCTCTGGTACTATCTTCGGTCCCAAGCTAATCGATTCACCCCTCGAAAGATAGGAAAATCCACTAACCCCTCATTTTACCTGTCAAAATTTCATAGCGAATCAAAACAAACATTGTGTAGTACTAGAATTTTGACTAGAATGGAGTACGTAATCGATTTGCTTGGGACCAATAGGCTAGTCAAGTAGTGAGCCAATTTAAAATCGTTAGTTTCGTATTGATTGTTGCTAATACCCCGTTCACATTACAGCCTATATCACGTAATATAGGCTGTCTTGCAATGAGTACTCATACATAGGATTTCCAGTGAAAACTAGATGTATGAGTGCTCATTGCAAGATAGCGTATATCACGTGATATACGCTGTAATGTGAATGGGGTATACCCTAATAAACAAATACCATAAACGAACTGTATCCCGGATGGGTAAACTATCCCACAAATGGTTTGGATGATACCCCGAACACGTCGTTAAGCCATAGAGGTAACTCTAAGACTAGAAGGTCCCGAAATAACGTGCTCAACTTTTTGGCTCAGCTCTGGTACTCTCTTCGGTCCCAAGCTATTCGATGCACCCCTCGAAACATAGGAAAATCCACGAACCCCTCATGTTATCTGTCAAACTTTCATAGCGAATCAAAACAAACATTGCGTAGTACTAGAATTTCGACTAGAATGGGATACGTTAACCGTTTGCTTGGGACCAATAGGCTAGTCAAGTAGTGAGCCAATTTAAAATCGTTAGTTTCGTATTGATTGTTGGTTAAGCTCTCTTTTATGGTTATTTTTATTAGGGTAATCCAATGAAAAAACCCGTAGTAAAAATGAGATCATTCACGGTTGGAAATACAATTGACCTTTCTGTCGTTTATAACACGTACACTTGCGTAATCCCATTTTCAAGTGCAAAATGTGTCATCCTAATTTTTGCTCTAAGCAAAAAAAAAGTTTGTTATTGTTAACCTCACTTCCGCACCATCAATACTCGTGCGCATAGAATGAAGTTGGGCCAGCAATACACGCGCATGTAGAAAGGAATAATCTGAATGTTTACTGCATAGTATTTTTGACTACACTTGTGCTCGTTGTGAACCCATGATGTAGCCTGCAAAAAACCTACACAGCAAAAAAAAAATGTAATATCGATCAATGTAATTCAAGCTGATGTATGAAATAATGATGTAATAGCAAAAAGCAGGTACAATATTACATCAATGGATGTAATTTTGTTCGCAAAATTGATGTACATCGTGCAACGTTATATTACACAACCGATGGATTGACCTGGTTGCAGCAGTTTGGATGTAATATTCAGCAACTTGTTTTTCTGTGTAGGTGCCTGCGTTTAATCTACACCTTATACCTTTTGGTAAATTTCCATTGCTGATTATTCATAAATTGTATAAGTCAACTAATAAGCAGACGCCTTGCAAAAAGTTAATAAAGATCATGTGTCAAATGAAATGTATAAGCGGTCACACATACCTTTTATGCATTCTAATAGGACATATCAGTGCTAACATTTGAAAACGGCACAAAAGTCATTTGCAAACAAATGGTTTGTGGGCCCTTTACTCACTACTTGAAGTACACCCACGCGACACAACAGCAACATCGGGTAGGGGAAATTTTCCCCTTCCTGACTATGCTGTTGGTTTGCGTGGGCGTTCTTCGGGTAGCGAGTAAAGGGCCCACAAACCATTTGTTTACAAATGGCTTTTGCGCCGTTTTCAAATGTTAGCACTGATAAGTGGTTTGTCTTATGGAATGTATAATACCCCGTTCACATTACAACCTATATCACGTAATATAGGCTGTCTTGCAATGAGCACTCATACATAGGATTTCCAGTGAAAACTAGATGTATGAGTGCTCATTGCAAGACAGCGTATATCACGTGATATACGCTGTAATGTGAACGGGGTATAAGCATAGAGGTAACTCTAAGACCACTGGGTCCCGAAGAAAATCATTATTATTTTTGGCTCACTCAGTACCAGAACAACGGTCCCAAGCAGTCCCAAGCTATTTCACTCACCCCTGCATGTTCTGCATGAATCCACACACCCCTGATGTTATCTGTCAAACTTTCATAGCGAATCAAAACAAACATAGTGTAGTAATAGAATTTCAACTAGAATAGGGTACGTTAATCGTTTACTTGGGACCAATAGGCTACTAAAGTGGTGAGCCAATTTAAAATCGTTAGTTTCGTATTGATTGTTGGTATAAGGCTGATGCTTTGGCAAAAATGTATAAGTGAAACACATGAATTAAATAATTGATTTTTATTTCGTGTAGACCAACAATATGGTAGGTTCTACTGCACCATTAATTTCCGTGTAGAGATGTCAGTGAAAAAGCAAAAAGCAACTTGATATGCGTTACATCTGTCATTTGACGGACGAACCCCTTCGCCAACGCTGACGGTGACGCAGTATTGTGGGTCCCGCTTTGCTATACATTTAATTGTACCTCTATGGTTTTTTACGGGTGAACACGTGTTCAAATTACATGAATTGGTTCGTGTTTGATCCATTGCAGAATTTTTTTTCTAGATAAAAACTGAGATTTCCGTGCAGAAGTTAAATTTTAGTTTCAAGTCGGTTTGTCGGTGGTATTTTATTGATTGGAGCACGTTCTCTATTTTCTAATGCGTGTTCAATCGACCAGCATTGTTCGACCCCCCGACAAGAAACCGCAATATTGGAACACACCGAAACTGGAACGACATAGGAAAACAAAAACTGGTATTAAAGCCAACTGAAAAATATAACACCAGCAGTGAAATTCGTTATAAATAGTGATTATTCTGGCTTACAAGCATTCAAAATCGTGCCTTTTGTGTTCCGGTGCTTCCTGTTGGTAGGAATGTTTTCATCCGGAAGTGAAAACTCAAATCCGTAAGAAGATTATCGTTTCCCCGAGAACATAACATAACCTCCAATCCAATCCGTGCTGGACGTTGTTTTTTGAATTTACCTCCGTTTTGTTTACATCGGTAGCGGTAACGGCAAAGGTAGCCGGACGAAACCGAGGATGTCTTTCTCGGCCCAACTGGAACTGATACAGAAGAGCTTCGCGGAAAAGGGTAGTGCCGTGGAAAGCCTCCGGAAGTTACGGGATCTAATCGAAGGCATACCGAAACAAACGGATCGGGAAAAAGGAGCGGTTTATGCGTTCAAAGATCTGTTGACGGTCTTCGGGGAGTTGGAGGATGGTGATAGGAAGGAGGACGAACTGCATTTGCAGGCATTGCTGGAAGCACTGAGGTACCTGATTGGAGTGTGTCGCGAGGCGGTGGATGGAATTCGATGCCACTTTGTTCTTAGAATTTATAATTTGGTGGTGAAGTTCAGTGGTACGGTGGTAAGATTAGTTGATTTTGTTTAGAAGGATTCTGTGTAATAAATTTTACTTTTTCAGGATAAACGACACATATTAGTGCAATGCGCTTGCTTGCTGGAAGATTGCCATTGGGCGGAAGAGCACACGGAGCTATTGCTAAGGGTGAGCCGGGTGGTGCTCAAGGCGATATACGATGCACATACCAAGAAGCAAACGGATCAGCAAAAGTTGATCTTGTCTGGATTGGATGTGATCTGCTCCACCACAATTCGATTGTTGCGGCATTGGTCCGAGTCTGACGAGTTGGCGATCCGGGCGAAAGCAGTAGGGATCTACAACGATGTGTTCGATAATTCAACGGCGTTGCTGTATCGGCTATTCAGTGTGGATCAGAAGCGGGCAGCGAAATTTTTCGCATCAGTGATAGACGTCTTCGGAACGAAGACGAAGTTTAGCGAGATGGAAATGGCAGAATTGTTCCACAAGAGTTTGCCTTATTTGGAAATAATTCTCAGCTTGGGTGAGGCTTCCAAGCAGTACATACAATTCGTGGAGATTCTTAGTATTTTCGAAAGAATAGAATCCGAGCCAACGGCAAGTTCCGTTTGGATTTTGAGGAAGTATCTCAACTTTCAAAACAGCTCAGTTCTGGATATGAAAACGCTGGAATCCCTATCAGAGAAATTGAAAATCCTCAGTGGGAAATCCCCTCCGGATCAGCTTTTGGTAGAAATCGTTATATTCATCACACTTCAACTGCGGATACATTTGGATCAAATTAAGCAGCAGGCTTCGGAGTTAGCCGAGCCGATCATTGAATTGTGTAAATCGTTGGTCAAATTCAGTAAATACTGCCCCAGGAATCATGCCCAGATTTGCTCCCGCTGTGGAAGCTCCAGTCGGCATTTTGTGGATTACATTTCAACGATGGTTATAAACTTGGCGATGACCATGTCCAAGGCCGGACAGGAAATCAGTCCAGAACTGGTCGGATTGGTCAATGGATTTCTGAGGCATAAAATGCTAACGCTGGACGATTTGGGATGCGAAAAGAAGCAATCGCTCCTGGACTCCGGGTTGCGATTTTTGGTCAATTGGATACGGGTTGCTGTGCAGCTAGTCCCCGGAAAGGAAATGCTGGACCTTGCTCGGTTGGTCGTCGACTTCAAGTACAAATACGGATTCGATTTTCTAACGGATAGTTATTTGATAAGACTGGTGGAGAACTGCCTAAAGGATGCCGGAGTCTGCTCGGCTGCAATTGATATTAAATTGGTAAAACTATTGGCAGCGCTTCGAGATGGTGCTGACGACTCCAAAGACGTGGACGAAACAATTTATGCGATTGTGAACTTTCAACTAAGCACCAATAACGAACCAATTCGCGATCTGAACATCGTCGAGCTGATCGAACGCCCCGAAATGGATAGATTTGGATTCCCGATCGATCCGACCTTGACTCGACAGGAGAAAGCTTCGATTTTACTGGTAGAAATTAACTTGGCGTCGCGTTATAAGAATTCAAATGTCCTTCAGTATTTCCAGCTGCTTCAGGACCTAAAGGCTGACCCCCTGCGTCTTGGGATGGTAATCTATCTCCTGCAGGACGGTGGATTTCCCCAACTTTCCCAATCAGACGTGGAAGTGTTGAAAACGAAAATTCTCCATACACGCCCCAAGAATCCTGCAGACAAGGTGCGACGACACGGAGCCCTGGGTCTTTTGAGCTACTACGCTTTCAGTGCGACTTCCAAGGCCACCATTAACAAGCTAAAAGAAGCCCAACTGAACCGGGAGACCATAAAAAACGACCAGATCAACAATGTGCTCAAAGAGAACACCATGGAGCATGAACTGATCTTGTTGACACAGCTCGAAGACACCTACACAAACTTCCGGGAAATGGTTTCCGTCCTGGCGGAATCCTCCTTCCAGCACTTCGGTCTGATCTATTCCCTCAACCAGATATCATCCATGTTGGACAACACCTGCCGCTTCTTCGTAATCAACTACTATCCTCAACGGGCCGTTGAAACTCAACTGCTCAACTACCTACTGGTATGCCGAAAACCGGATCGAATCCTAGAACTCTGCTGCTCCCTCGGATTCATCATTGAAAATCACCAAATTTACAACCACCTACTCAGCAACCGCCACTACAATAAACCCTGGGTCCCCACGCTCCAAGCTCTCGTTGAAAAAGCAACTGAAATTATGAACACTCACCAGAAAAACTTCTCCGCAATCCCCGAATCTCGAAAGTACCACTTTCTCAATCTGTACCTGTCCCTTTCGCAGTATGAAGCATCACGCCAAAACCTAACAAACTCCATCGTTCACCTTCAAAACCTAACCAGTTTGCTGGATAAGTGCCCACCATCCTGTCCCATCACCTCCATCGCCCGTGGCCGCATCTACCACACCCTGTTCCGACTGGTCACCATCTACAACCTCCCAACGCCGCGGGGGATGTCCCCGCGAAATTTTATCCGTCTGATGCTGGCCCACTACAACGAAATGCAAAAACTGCCGGCCGAACACGGATTCATCGTGTCCACCAGCACCCTGGAGATGACGGTCGAAACGTTGCACTTCCTGACGCTCCGGTACGACACCGATCGGTTGGAGGCCCACGTCGAACAGCTGATGAGATTTGTGCTACGGCGCGGTGCCGGCCTGAGGGCGATGCAGCTGATGACGCTATACGCGGCGATGAGTGCCGACAGCGAGAAGGAGGACAAGTGTCGGGTGAGTATTTACCGTCGGAATTGTGGTGGTTTTTCCCCCGGAGTAACCGGTCATGAACTTTTAACCTTGATCGGATCCGTAGAGCTTTGTAAGGCATTGAGCCTACCAAAAACAATTTAAGAGAGCAGATGTGTCACATGATTGTAATCGAAAACGTGTCATCGTTATTACACAGTAAAATTATTTACATTCCATCACATTCTTATATTTGCAGATGCTACTCACCTACCTAGATCGTCTGTTGATGTTCCGCCCACTGGAAAAGGATGGCAAAAATCTCCCGAAAGAATCAACCCCAACTATGACGCTGGAGGTCCCGCTCATCTCCCTGTCGGACGATCCCAACTCCCAGGATCCAACTCGAAAGGCCGTGAAATACGTTAAATCTCCGACCGTAAGATTACGAACCATTCTAGCCCCTCCAATTCTTCACCATTCACGTAAACTTTTCGTTCACAGAAGCGCAGTCCTTCCCCTCGGCTATTCCCCGATCAAGCGGTCGACTGCCACCAGTACCTGATCGAACATCACACCGGATGCAGCTGCCAGTTCTGCCGTTATCCTCAGTACAAATGTCAAGCCCTATTGGTAGCGGTTAGCTACGCCCGGTTGGCTTTCATCAAAGGTCAATCAAGCCGCTGTCAAGAGATTTACGAAACCTTGGCCGAACACTGGCGCCTCCGGAAGAAGGACTTCCAAGATTCCTGTCTTATTGGACAGAGAGATGAATTTACAGCGCTTGTCGCGCGGGCCTTCTTGTGCTATGGGCACTTTCTAACCAAGATAGGACAACCGGAGCAGGCCCGCCGAGAGTATGATAAAAGTCTGGAAATACTGAAGGATGTTCCTCATGTAGATTTGGGTCTCATCGAGGAAGTGCAGATGAACCTAGAAACGCTGGAAGATTTGCGATCGTTCAATGAGCCTGGCAAGGTCGAAAGTAAGTTTTCCAACTTCGAGGATTTTGTTAGGGAAAATCCTCGGGTCCATGCGTTGCCATCGGTGGAACTCGGTAGGATTTGTTCATTCACGCCGAAAGTGGGAACGACCAGACTCATTCCCAAGACGGCTAGCCGGGCGGACGATTTGCTGAAACAGGTTGCTCGAAAGCGATTGAAAACTACCCTAGCCAAAGATTACTCCAAGGAATCGGAGTTGATAAGTGCCATGTCGGGATTATCCTGCGCCTCGGAGAGGAAACCCAAAACGGTCAACGTTTTCGTAGACACACCGGAGAAACCTGCCGTCCCGCAGGGAAAGAAGAAACTTTTCACCCAGGAAACAAGCTCGGAAGACTCCCCAAAAAAGCGAGGCCGGCGGAAGAAGGCAGAGGGTGAAACACCGGCAGCCCCGAAATCCACACGCAAGAAGCGAATCCCCTTGAGTCCTTCGCTCAAAACGTCCTCTTCCAATGAATCATTCAAAGACATTCTAGCTAAATGCAGTACCCCCGTCTCGAAAATCGTTTCATACGGAAACAAAGGTCGTACGACCGCTAGCAAGCGGCCAAAAATTACTTCCGCCTTTCCAAAACTGCCCGACGGAGAATCCGGATCTCCGGAAATGGTCCAGAACCATTCTTTCAACAGTTCCTTTCGGGATGTGCTAATGCAATCGCTAACCGAGGATGCCTCGAAACGCGTCGCCAAGGATTCCAGCGTGATCATCCTGGACGATTCGGAACCGGATATCGTAAATACCAGCCTAGCACAGAACCATTCGGTTGACACAAGCAATGGGTGTCTTTCGTTGAAAAAGTATTCCAACCGTAAGGTTGCCAGCACAAGGACCAAGCTTATCGCCAAGACGCGGTTGCAATTCGATACATCGGCAGTGATCGACATAACGACACCGGATCAATCGCCGTGCATTGTGCGTGGGGTGGGTTCGTCTGGCGGAGGTGGTGGGATAGTGGAAGTCGTCAAGAGAACTAGAGGGCGCCCACGAGGGTGTAGGACGGCGGCCAGTAGCAGTAGTAAAACATCGACGACGACGGAGGTTACTCCGGAAACGAGTGAGGTACCCGCGCCAAAAACAACAAGGAAGAAGGTAAGAGGACGAAAGGGAGAGTGATGGACCAGCTGGACGAAATTTGTATGTTTTTTTTTATCGTCATATTTATGAAGAATTTTGCCTAGGTTAATTAACGAATTTTATGATTTTTTTTTAATTTTAATTTCTATTCTGATAACGATATTCCACGATTATTGTTGATTTACATCAATAATAGGGACAGTTCCATAAAATTAATATTTTTGTACAGCGTGTTTAGTCGACCTGAATGAAGAATCCATCGAAGTCTCAGTTATAGAGTTAGTTCAACCCTAGACTAAGAGAGTTTCTAAAACCTAATTAATTCTCCGACGGTGTGATTCAGTCCGTTTTATTTCGGTGGTATTTCGGACTCCTACTCTGATGGTGGGGTCAATTTGAAGCTTACCGCAGTTCTAGGCCAAATAGCAAAAAATAAAGGGATTTTTGACTCGACCTTCTCCGATTTGCATGAAACTTTGCATAACTGTTTGTTATGGATGATTTCCAGCTAAAACGCACAAAAAATGACGATTTTGTCTCGACCCTTTCCGATTTGAACGAAAAAACGGAGAAGAAAAACAGCGGTGAGGGTAGCTTGAGTATACCTATTTTGAATAGGTACGCTACTCTTCCCACCGATGTTGGGAATACCATAGTGGTAACTCTAAGACCAGAAGGTCCCGAAGAAATGAGCTCAACTTTTTGGCTCAGCTCTGGTACTATCTTCGATCCCAAGCTAATCGATTCACCACTCGAAACATAGGAAAATCCACTAAGCCCTCATTTCATCTGTCAAACTTTCATGTCAAGCATTGTCCAAAAGCGTCGAAATAATTAACAAATCCACCAATTACGTACATGCATATGCTTCTTCCCCAGCACAGTCGTCAGAGAGTAGTAAGTAGACGAAACATGTCGATATAGCATTACGACGAGGTTCTGTAGTTCAGTGGTTACCGTTTCTGCTTACTGAGCAGAAGGTAGGGAGTTCAATACCACCCCCCCCCCCCGTGCAATTTTTTCACTTTGGCTTTTTCTATCCCCACTAGATTTAAATAAACAACAAATTCTGCTTTAACCGCTCGCATCACTTACCACAGTGAATCCTAATCTAAAAATAACCTACCTCGCTTACACTACTATCCTTCCCGAGATAGCCGTGGAGCTGTAGAGGTATTCTCGGTCTCTAGTAACAACCGGACGTCGAACTAATCATCCTTGCCTCCCCAAAAGACCGGGAGGACGTGGCCGGCGCTGTGAATTGATCTATAGAATGAATTAATGTGCTTGTACATTGAAGATGGAAAGCTTATCCCATGCACCCATCTATGTAGTTCTCTGTGCAAGTGGATTAGTTGTGATCATTCACGGAGGAGCAACTACGAAGTGCACGGTCAGATAACGTTAACTCGACGGCAAACACATTCATTGAAACGATTATTGTTGTGGATGATAGAAGAGCATAGCAGAAATAGTGCGAAATAGGGAGCTATAGTCATCACAAAAGAGGAAATCGAAAAAGCGAATTGGCTTTCACCCTTCTGCTTCTAAGCCCCTTACAGTCATCGTCATAGCATCGCATCGCTTTTGGTTCTAGGGCACTTGCTGGTTGCAATTTTTAGATCAGGATTCACTGTGATGCGATCAGTTGTAAGCAGCAGAAATGTCCTTCCCAACTCTCTTGTGGAATCTTTTAGTGGCTCTGAAAAGGGCCGGTTTTGATAGATTTCGACGGAAAAATTAAGAGCGTTCACCACAAATACGAAGAGCCAGCTGAATGTCCTTTGGCATAATTGTGACACGCTTGGCGTGAATGGCGAACAGACCGACCAGATAGGTCGGTTTATTTCACTCATCGAGGGTATACTTATACCTGCGTCGAGTAGCACATTATTAATAGAGAGAGGGTACAATACATACAGTGGGAAGCAAAATACTAAAAAGGGGAGGAGTTTCGCTTCTTATGCTACGGGCACAAAACGAGACACCACCGTCGAAACGTCTATCAGTTATTCTCTACCGAAGCGAACAGCTAAACTATGGCACCGAAAACCAGTGGAAAGGCATTCTCTGCTTGATCGTCAAGCAGTTCAGTTCGGTGTTAGCTTGCTCTCTCGAGTTGTTTGAAAAGTTCGTGGCGATATTGTTCACGCTCTCTCTTTCGCGGTTTGTCGTGCGTGTGTGTGTGCCTCGTAATGGGGAAGCATCGGTCGCGAAGCCCGGCGAAGGTCCAGAACTCCGGTGAAGGAAGCTCCGGTGTGCCTACCTCGAACAGGTTTGCTGTTCTCCCCATGGATGGGAATATCCAGCCGGCTGTGTTGGAAAAACGCAGCAAGAAAAGGAAGAAGAACCGAGGCCAGTCTGATGGCACGATTGGTCGAGACGATACCTCTGCGACGAACGGAGATTTCTGTGACGCTGCCGATAAAGAAAATGCTGCTGACATGAGCGCGGCAAGAGTGAAGCTACCTCCGCTGGTAGTGAAAAATGCCCATCTCAACGAGCTCATCGCGGATCTGGCGTCGCTGGGCGTCAAAGCCGAATTCAAATTGGGCAGAGTCGGCACCAAGGTGGTGCTCCGTACCAAAGCGGAGTATGACTTGGTCATCGCCCACCTGAGGACTTCCAAGGTGGAATTCTTCACCCACGACATCCCCGGTGAAAAACCGTTCAAGGTCGTCATCAGGGGCCTACCAAATTTCGACCCGAAGTTTATCGAACATTAAATCAGGGACAGGTACAAGCTGGCCCCAAGTGCCGTGTACCGAATGACAAGAAGAGACGAGAATGTGAAAGCGTACCCGGATAGCCTTTTTCTGGTACACTTCCAGAAGGGAACGGTGACGCTCAATGCACTGAAAGCCATCCGGTCCATCAATTCCATCATCGTTCGCTGGGAGCCATACCAACAATCAATACGAAACTAACGATTTTAAATTGGCTCACCACTTTAGTAGCCTATTGGTCCCAAGCAAACGATTAACGTACCCTATTCTAGTTGAAATTCTATTACTACACTATGTTTGTTTTGATTCGCTATGAAAGTTTGACAGATAACATCAGGGGTGTGTGGATTCATGCAGAACATGCAGGGGTGAGTGAAATAGCTTGGGTCTGCTTGGGACCGTTGTTCTGGTACTGAGTGAGCCAAAAATAATAATGATTTTCTTCGGGACCCAGTGGTCTTAGAGTTACCTCTATGGCCATACCGTGGCGGCCATCGCGATGTGACTCAGTGCCAGCGGTGTCTGAATTTCGGACACGGTACCCTCAACTGCAACATTAAGCCACGCTGCGGAAATTGCGCTCAAGACCATGCCACCTCCGAATGTGCTGCGGATGAAGCTGTTGCGTCCAAATGCGCCAACTGTGGTGGTGCTCACCAAGGATCCAACAAGCAGTGCCCTAAACGCGAGGATTTCAAGCGCATCCGAAATCAAGCGTCCACCAACAATCAACCAGCACGAAGGAAGGATAAGGCCCCAGCTTTCAGGACGGAGGACTTTCCGCCTCTTCATGAACAAGCGAATCCCAGGGTGCGATCCGCGCCCCCTCAAGAAACGTCTGGATCTTCTGCTGGACAAAGCTCTCCATCCCCCCTGGATTCTGGAGGCAACCAACAGCTCAAACAAATAATCCCGATCTGTTCTCAGCAGATGAACTAATGGAGATTTTTATCAACATTACCGGTGCTCTACGTAAGTGCCGCAATAAGCCCGAACAGATCCAAGTGCTCGGTAAGTTCATCATCCAATATGGTGTCTAAACCGCTAACCATCGCTACCTGGAACGCTTGGTCTGTAAGAGCTAAACAGATTGAGCTTGCCGACTTCCTCCGCAAGCATAGCATCGACGTGGTTCTTCTAACAGAAACCCACCTAAAGTCCGGTGACAGCTTCTGGTTGCCTGACCACAACATTATCCGGCTTGATCGCACCAGCTCCAGGGAGGTGGTGTAGCGGTTATCGTCAGAAAGGGAATCAAGTTTTGCACTCTGATGATACCGCAATAGCCGTCAAAGGATGGATGCCTCGCGAAATAACGAACAAACTTCAACGATGCCTTAACGCCTTTGCTGATTATGCCACCACGTGGAAAATCAAAATCAATGCCACCTAAACACAAGCGATCATGTTCCTCCATCGGCAATCGCCGAAACTGAAACCGGCTCCATCTTGTACTGTAATCATGGATGGCACAAGGGTTGAGTGGTCTGCCGAAGTCACCTATCTCGAAATGTTGTTCGATGAAAAACTCCTCTTCCGTTCGCATGTAGAGAAAACAGTAGTCAAGTGTTCTGTCTTGGTTAGGTGTCTGTATCCGCTGATTTGCCGCAGATCCCACCTCACAAGGGTGAACAAACTGGCCGTCTACAAACAAATTATAGTACCTGCGATCCTCTACGCAACTCCGGTGTGGGAATCATGTGCAAACTCACAGGAACAAAATTCAGGTAGCTCAGAATAGAGTGCTGAGGATGGTACTTGATCGTCCTTTCGACACTAGAATAGCAAATTTACACGAAGAGGCAGGCATTGCCAAAATAGATTCAAGAATTAACGAAATTAAGACTACATTTGCTGAAAAATGTAATTTATCAGAACATGCTTTGATAAGCAATTTGTATATAGTAGGTTAGGTGTATATAGTAGTTGTAGGTTAGTTGTAGTTGTAAATAGTAGTTATAAGTAGTCTCCTTTTTTCCAATTCAAATCAAACCAATCCCACCAAGGTGGTCATACTTTAAAATAGGCCTGATAGGACTAGTAACTGTAAATAATAATTAAAATCTCAAGTGAACTAAAGTTGAAAAGACGCATCTGTGTCACTTGAAAAAATCATAAATGTTAGCGTTAGCGTTAGCGTTGTTATGATATACTTCGTAGATTGGATACTAGCGACACTCACGTCTATTCTGAAAATCTCAGTTAGACTACTTTCAGGAATAATGCTGAGGAGTAAACATTGGTTCCAATCTAAACAAGAGTAACAGAAGCATGACTGTCGCTATTCCCGGCCACGCCCATCTTTACCATAACTAGGGATAGGGAAGGAAATGTTGATGT